GTCTAGAGGAGCTGGACAGCTGAGAGTCTGGAGCTGGACAGGGGACAGAGTCTCAGCACACAGTCACAACAGGAGGGGGTCTTTGGTGGCAGTGAGGTGTCCACTGGAGAGCTCTGCAGGCCCAGACGAAGGGAGGTGTCCGTTGGAGAGCAGATTCTTTTTAATGGCAGAGAAATCTTCATCTGATACAACTGTCACGGCTGTAAGTCCTCTCTGCTGTTTCAGTTCCCCCAGCTTTGTGATCCTCTTCTTCATCAGCACCACAAACACAAGAGCGAGCACCAGCGTAGCTACTGCTGTAGCAGCAACTGGAAGAATGATCCAGTGGTATTCCCTGTTTCTCACACCTAAGGAGAAAAGGACAGAATTAGGGTTTGCTTTCTGGAAGATAAATAAGAAGCCCTCTGCTGTTTACAGGTCTTGTTCTGATGTAGTGATGTCCTCAGAGAAAGACTACGGAGGTGCTCAAGATGTTATCAACTGACACACTGGTCCTGCCGCCTCTCCTGGTTTTCACTCCAACCCCGGAGAGCGAACGAACCACCTGCTTGGTTTGAATATTTAATGTTTTTTTTCTGCTCTGACACTGGCGATTCTGTGCGAGTGGAGCAGTCCCAGAGGACGGACGAGCTCCGTCACGTCCAGGAGCTGAACGCGGATCAGACCCAGCTCAGGGCTGGGACAAAGACCCGGAGGTGGGTGATCAGGGGTCCGGATTGAGGGCCGGTGAGTTGTGGGATACTCTTCTATCGACAGTACCTGTTTCCGCAGGGGGGGTGGTTGGATTGCTTGGAGTTGAGCTCTCTGCCTCTGAAACCGAACGACACAAAACATTACTGTGCTGTAATACACACGTGAGAACCTTTTTTTAAACTGTTTCAAATGAATCGGTTTGTGTCATTTTCCTCAATCCCAGATCCGCCAGATGTTCATGGACTGGAAGTAAAGAGCAGGAGCTCAGCTGAGCCCCTTCCTCCACACAGTGATTTCACACAACATGAGGACAGCAGGTTCGGGCAAGATGGCAGCTCTGGCCTGAACTACAGTTCCCAGAAGGCTGCTGCCCTTGGTCACCTGACTTGCCTCAGGGGGGCCATGAGACGGGTGATGCTTCAAAACACTGAGTATAAATGGAAAAAAAGCACAGATTTACCTGATCCAAGATTTGAAGTGGGGTCGCGATCCAAATGGCCTCTCTCTGAAACACAAAGACACAAGCTGAAAACCGGAATGAACCGTCTCTCCTGGCGCAGGAAGGGCAGACTGCTTCACTGAGACGGGCCTGGACGAAGAAGAAAGCCCCTTACCTGCGACAGCCACCACGACGCTGCACGCGAACCGCAGAGTGTGGCTGTCCCGAGTCCAGTAGCAGCTGTAGACTCCTCTGTCCGCCACTCGTATCCCACTGATGTTGAGGGAGAGGTCCCCATCGGCGACTCTGTTCGCGCTTTCAAAGTTCACTCGGTTCTCGAACCCTGCACCATATCGAGGCGTCCCCTTGATCAGGGTGAAGACCCTCTCCTCGGGGGTCTCCCAGATCACGCTGAGCTCCTCCCTGGAGACGCGCTGCTTTATCTCACAGGGCAGAGTGGCCCCCTGCCCCTCTGTTACCCTGACGAAGACGGGAGTCTCCGACTGGGCTGTGGAAGAGACACGAGAGAGCATTGTCTTACTCACAGCAACAACAACTGTGAGATCGTCTCATGACCCATGAGAGCAAACTCAAAGTGACCTGTCTGTGTGTGTCCTGTGATGGTCTGGTGTCCTGTCCAGGGTATGAGTGTGTGTCCTGTGATGGACTGGGGTCCTGTCCAGGGTGTCTGTGTGTGTGTCCTGTGATGGACTGGGGTCCTGTCCAGGGTGTGTGTGTGTGTGTCCTGTGATGGACTGGGGTCCTGTCCAGGGTGAGTGTGTGTGTCCTGTGATGGACTGGGGTCCTGTCCAGGGTGTGTCCTGCCTTGTGCCTGTTGCATGCTGGGATAGGGCATTTGTGTGTGTCACTGTGTTTCTGTCGTGGAAGAGCTCGAAGACACCAAAGGGGCACCGGTGCCCATCTGGAGAGCCGACCAGCAGGGGGGAGCTTGTGTGGTTGTGTTTTGGATCTCTCTGCTCACACCCCCTGTGCAGAGCAGGACTGTAGTGAGCTGAACTGCCACAAGGGGACGCAGAACCTTTCCTCGCCTCAGGGAATGTTTTTTTAGGGACACACAATGCGCAACATTACACATCACATCTCTACAGAAAAGCTCATGTCGCCACATGTGCAAGCACACCCAGTTTGTTTGAGCATGACTGGCCCACACCTATGTATTAATTGCTTTAGGAAAATAAAGTGCACATTTCGAAAGGCACTAATGAATATTTGTATCTATTTGAATACACTGTGCGTCAGAGGGAAGTCTGGCTTTTTAGACTGGGAAGAAAAGCCAGACTAATCGTGGTTGTTTAGAAACTGTCAGCTGCTTCACACATAACTGTCTGGCCAGGACAGGTGACGTTTCATGTTCCTGTTGCTGTTACTTATTAGGTCTAGAATGTGCTGTCTACATTGTGTGGGGTTGTGTGGTGTACTGTGTGTCCTGAGAGATCAGAGGGAATTGGAATCCCAGTGAGATCAGGGTAAAAACACAGGGCAGCGCAGTAGAGTCCAGTGAGATCAGGGTAAAAACACAGGGCAGCGCAGTGAGATCAGGGTAAAAACACAGGGCAGCACAGTATAGTCCAGTGAGATCAGGGTAAAAACACAGGACAGTGCAGTAGAGCCCAGTGAGATCAAGGTAAAAACACAGGGCAGCGCAGTGAGATCAGGGTAAAAACACAGGGCAGCCCAGTGAGATCAAGGTAAAAACACAGGGCAGTGCAGTGAGATCAGGGTAAAAACACATTACAGCCCAGTGAGATCAGGGTAAAAACACAGTATGGCACAGTAATACGGAGCTCTGCTGTACTGAGTGTGTCCTGAGAGAGGAGTGTGAGTCAGAAGCTCAATGCACACGTATATATGGCAATACACTCCTCCTCTCCTAACGCACGTGTCAGTGAGGATCAGTCTCACTAGAAATAAGACGACTAACGATCTTCAAGGGCAGCTTGCAGACAAAACAGACACAGAGACACGTCACAGCAGAGGAACGGTTTATTCAGGTTTGCCGATGATCGCAGAAGCATGTCGTCGTGCAGAAGGGAACAGAGCCCCTTCTGTAACAGAAAACGATGAGGAGAAAACGACAAGACTTCAGTGGGGTCCTTCCTCTCCTCCATGGTCATCTTCGTTCTCCTTCGAGCTCGATCACACGCAAAAAAAGCAGGCTGCAAGGCGGACCTGGACGCTATAAATTGGGCCAAGGTGATGATCGACCAGCCCAAAAGAATGACCAGCCAATGAGGATGATGAAGATGCCGCAAGCAGTGGCCAACTGTGGTTTCCAGGAAATCTGGGACTGACCCACACGGACAGGCTGAGGGAACTGGGTCTCTTCAGTCTGAAGGGAGTGTCCCACACGGACAGGCTGAGGGAACTGGGTCTCTTCAGTCTGAAGGGAGTGTC